TTTTTCCCTTGCCTTTTTTATTTTTGGTTTTCTTCCCACGACACAGGGTTTCTCTGTGTAGCCCTTGCTCTCCTGGCTCTGTAGACCAGACTGGCCTCAAACTCACAGAAATCTTCCTGCCTCTGCCTCCCTTGGGAGATGGACATCTTAGTACTCCAGTAGGTAATCATTTCCCTATGCTTGTATCTAGATGTATAAATGGAAAAGAAGAGCTGAGGAGCAAAGTGTATTCATGGCTGTTTCCTGACAGTGGATTTGCTCTGACCAACTCCATCATGCTCCGAACACCTTGACTCCCCACCATGATGCACTGAACTCTTGACCTATGAGCCAGAATAAACCCTTTCTGCTATATTATTTTTGTGGCAGCATTTTACCATAGCAACAGAAAGAGAAACAAAAGCTTAGCTAGGGGCACTTGACTTTCTTCTGTGGTTTCTGAGTCAGAGCGTCTACCTTTAAAGACAATCTCCCTTTACTCCAATTCGTGTGGACGGCATTTGAGGAAAATGTGTTTCCAGCTCTATGAACAAAAACTCCTGGAAAGAAGCTGTGTCTGCAGAATGTGATGGGCTGATTAGAATTCCACACTATGGAAAGATACGAACGTTGAAGTCCCCTACCCCAACCTAAAGGCCTGAATCCTTGCCCTATCGTGGGCTAGTTCTAGTCCTCTGGAACGGCCATTCCCAGCCCATCTGAATCTGAACTAACATCTAATCGACAGAAATCTTTTTGGAATCTGTTAACTTAGCAGACGACTAGCTTCTACCTACTCAAAAAGCTAAGCATGCCATCAGACAGCATCTTACAATCTCGGGTCTACAGAAACCGCTCAATGTCAGGTCATCAGACGGTATCCTGAATCTCCTCCAGCCTACAGAAACCTCCCAATATGATGTCATCTTTGGCCTAAAGAAAACCTCCCTCATCTTGATATGACTGCATCTCTGGCATATTTTAAACTTGCCTTGATTTATGACTGTCTCCATACTGTAAAGTTATAAAATATCATGAAAGTGTTTCCACATTGGAACATGGAATATACAGTAACTTAAATCTGTATTCCTGGGCTATGGTCACTCAATATAGCTCCAGAATAAGCTATATTGTCTCTCTCTCTCTCTCTCTCTCTCTCTCTCTCCCCTTCTTCCTCCCTTCCTTTCTTTCTGGTGAGAGTTATAAGTTTTTTGTCAACATTTTTTCCATTCCAAGAAAGGATTCATGCAGAGAAGCTAACTAGATTTGAGAGACAAAAGATTCCAATATACTTGCTTTTTTCTTTTCTTTTTTTTCCCTTTTTTTTAAAAAATTTATTTATTTATTAAAGATTTCTGCCTCCTCCCCGCCACCACCTCCCATTCACTCAAATAAGGGGCTACCTATGAGGAAAGGCTCATTCTCATTTCCAATACAATAATCTCTGTGGTTCTGAATCTTTTCCAGCTCCAGTCACTTGGACTTACTATCCACTTCTGGATAATAATTAAAGCTTTTTAAACAAACCTGAGTGCAGGGAGGGACTTTTGTTGCTGTTATTAGTGGCCTTCCGTATATAAGATGCATCTCATTTTTTTTAAAAGTAAAGTTAACGAAACAAAGAATTTCAAGAAAAGCATGTAAGGTGTTAAGATAGATTTTAAAAATGAGGTTTACAAAATACAGTAAAATCAAAGCCCGGCAGTAATTCTAGGCAGTATACTGGCAGTCCCTGGAGTCTTTCTCTTTGGTACCTTTATTTATTTATTTATTTATTTATTAAAGATTTCTGTCTCTTCCCCGCCACCGCCTCCCATTTCCCTCCCCCTCCCCCAATTAAGTCCCCCCCCAGCCCAAAAAGCAATCATGGTTCCCTGACCTGTGGGAAGTCCAAGGACCACCCACCTCCATTCAGGTCTAGTAAGGTGAGCATCCAAACTGCCTAGGCTCCCACAAAGCCAGTGCGTGCAGTAGGATCAGAAACCCATTGCCATTGTTCTTGAGATCTCAGTAGTCCTCATTGTCCGCTATGTTCAGAGAGTCCGGTTTTATCCCAGGCTTTTCCAGACCCAGGCCAGCTGGCCTTGGTGAGTATCTTTTTAAGAATAAAAGTTGACTTTCCTGGACAAAGTGGCACCAAGGGAAAACAGCTGGTGACGGGCCACGATTGAACATGAGAATAAGGCTGTTTCTACCTCTCAGAGCCATTGTTTATTTTTGCAATCAGACACAGAGTTTTACTTACACACAGAAAAAAGGATGCAAGAGGCAGGGACAGGGTCCAGCTGAGTGTTTCAGAGGACAGGGCGTAAACATAAAAGTCAAATTCTCATCTAAAATATTGTTAAACCAAAAGTCTGTGTTGACAAACCAGCTTCCACATCCTAGCAACAGCACACTCGCCTTAAACAAAACAAAATATAGCAAAACAGCAATCACGAAACCCAGAGGGCCCAAGATAGTGGTGTGCAATTGTTAATCAACCCAAGGGCGAGTATATGGAGAAATCTCTCCTTTTATCAACCAAACTCTTACAATAGAGTCAACCACCTTGGTCACTGAAAGGTAAAGACTGCCCTCTTTATTTCTTTTTACAGGAGATGCTAATGGGAATAAATAGCATTTTCCATCTGCCTGGGGAAAATTCCTTCTGGAGTCAACAATGAAATGCAGGGGCCTTGAAAGGGAAAAATACCACACTTCTTAAACTACAAGTCAAGTTGACTTTCATTTAAATGCCTCTGTATTTCCATTTCCAAACTGCCTTTGTTTGGAAAGTACATCCAAATTATGGCTTTTCTTGTGCAACCTAAGAAGATCTGACAGGGAGGGGAGAAGTCTTGTAATCTTTCTTTCTGTTAAGTGTGTTTGAAAGCAACTTCTAAATAAAACAATTCTTAAATGTGTTTCTCTTGAGATTACGGCTTAAAGGGTAAAATTGACTCCAGGAATCTTCAAAGGGTTTTGCATTGGGGAACTTTTTTATCCAATCCATTAAAAAATAGCTTAGGAAGGTAGATCAGGGACGTGGTTGGCAGTCAAATGGAACACTTTTTGGGTGTCTTAGTCATCACTGAGAGAGGACCCTCTGAGCATCACTGGGAGCAAGAGCTTCATAAAATGGGATTTACTGATGTTATTTCATTTTCTTTAAACTTGTGAAATTTTTGTTCTTCAGGTGGGATGGGAATGAGTAAGCCTATGGAGACAGCTAAGGCACTTGGTTGAAAAGATATCCTTTTAAAGTAAAGGGTGAATGGAGGGAGATAGCTACGCCGTATTTCAAAAGAATATTTATTATAACCCAGACTGCAGGAAAATGCTTTGAGATATGCACATTTTTTAACCCATTGCAAGTAGAAATAATTCTTAGTTTTGGACTTTTCCTCTAAGAATTATTGTCTCAAAGATAGCCTTTTTTTAAAAAAAATAGAATACTTTTAAAAAATAATCTTTTGGTTCACAGCAAAGATGAGCGGAAGCTCATTCCCTACTGGTCTTTGTCTCCACGTGTCCAGCCAGTCCCTCATTATCAACCTTGTGCTCCAGCGATGGCCATTTATGAGACACACGGACACTATCGCCAGAGTTCAGAATCCACATTGGAGTTCCTTTCTGGTATTTTATATCCTGTGGGGGTTTGACAAAAAGTACCAGGGCAGTATTACACACAACAGAGTCATTATCCTCTGATTTGCCTATTCATCCCTCCCTACCTTCAAGGAATTCACATTTTTACAGAATAGCTTTCAAATCAGTATTTCTAAGCAAAAATACCCCCCCCCACCCCATTTGAGATACATGCCTGAAGTAGTTCTTGCATTGAAACTCAGTGAGTTTAGTATTCATAACAGGAGACTACACAGCCCATCAAATGTTTTCTAAGAGGGAAGCATGGGTAACCAGAAAACAAGTTAAGAGAATATATAGCAAACAGGAAGAGACAAGTGTGTATTTTATGTTTCCTGTTCTGGACTTCCCTTCTGAGTGCTGATTTTAATCAGACAGGACCAGGGAACTGTTTTCTAGGTTCAAATATCTATTTGCCCACTGCTTCCTACCCTCATACTTTATATTTGCATAAATTTTAACAGTCCAATTTTTAAATGGGTACAAAATAGAAATTCCCTTTTAGAAGACGAACCGGCAACTGTAAGGCAGCAAGAGAAGAAAGTTTTCTCAACTTTTCTTTTCACTCTTCACAACTTCCTTCCCTATTTGACAAAAGATCACTAGCTTAAATTTACTTCAAAGTAAACAGGCGCAATTCTTAGGAACAAGACCTTTAAGGTCGAATGTTACAATAGAATGTGACGTCAGTGTTCTTTTGAGTCATAGTCTGATCCCCACCGCTTTATCCCAGGCGACCTGAGAGATTCCCCATAATCTCGGAGCTCCTCAGGTAGCACTATTAGCCTGGACACCAGGAACAGTCATGAGGGTGTTCCCCAGCACCTGCAACAACCGCTGTCTGCAGCCGGCGGCCAAACATTTTTGAGAACGTTTTTCTCAAGAAGGAGACAGTCTTTTGGCATTCAGGCCATCAGTGAAACACACACACACACACACACACACACACACACACTTCCCCCAAAGTCATCATCACTTCACAAGTTATCAGCAGGCGCGGGTGTGAAGGAAGTGTCACTCGTCAGCAGACACTTTAGAGAGCCTGGGGCAGCCAGGCTGCAGGGAGGAGGTCGGGGCTGTCAAAGCCACACCATGGAACCACACCGGCTCTCCAGAGCGCAGCTTCCCTAAGACAGACAGGAAGCAGTGTCAGTCACCGTCGCCCAGACCTCACCCTGGGCTCTGGGGAAGGCGTGGCTGAAAGGTTTTCCGGAAAGTTTCAGGCGCGGTTGACGACGGGCGGCAGGGTCCCGCCCCAAGGCGACAGTCTCTCAAAGGTCCGGGGTCGGCGGGGTGGTCCTCTCCCCGCACCTACCGGGATCTGGACCGGGAACACGGGGCAGCGCCCGCGCTCAGGTGAGGCGACCTCGCCCACCACCCGCGCCACTCACCTTCTTCATTTTGGTTTCAAGGTCCATGCTGGGCGACGGAGGGGCTCGGTCCAGCGTCCGCGATCTCCGCTGCGGAGACTCGGGCGTCCCGACGCCGCAGCCACACACACACCGCGCCCTCGAACTTCCGCAGCCCGATTCGGCTGCGGCTGGGACCTGGAACAAAGAGGCCCTGGCAGCCAATGGCAGCGGGGCAGCGCCAGGAAGCCGCCAATCAGCGCGCGCCGCACGCACCTTAGCGGCCGGAGCAAGGTGAGAGGCGGGGCAGCGAGGGGGCGGGGCCCTGCGGAGTTGCCCGGTGTGAGGGGGGACTCAGTTTCCCCAAAGCCTAGAGACCGGACAGGGTAGCAGGCTTGCGTCCAGCTGAAGACCAGGCTCAGACCTTTCTATTTCGGTGGATTGTACTTGTATGTCGCCGGGACTTTTGATTCAGGCCAAGAGGAGTCATTCCCCCAATACCAACTTCTTGGTTGATGTTTAGGGCAAAGAGGAGCCACGGAGCTCCTTTGGCATACCAGGACATACCAGGAGCCTGCTAGTCAAGCCTTGATTTCACTGCTGAATTGTGGAGATGTCCCTTTCTCAAATGTTTTTCTCCGGAGTCCCGAACACTGCCGAAGGATCCTCCCTGACACCCTACATGCCAATGAAGATTGCTACATTGTGAGCAAGTGAGGCTCACACAAACTTCTGCAGAAGTGAGTGGTATATTTGTTTGGGAAACAGAAGCTTGTCTTTTGTGTCTACTAAGTGTAATAAGGCGAGGCTGCCTCTGCTTCTCCAGTAGTCCGGTTTCAAACGCCAGTCTCACAGAAGCCTGGACCACCGGAAGCCAATCGGTTTCATACCCTCATTCAAGAGCAATTGCAATGAAGACCCTCACCTTGGAGAGACTGGAGTGGGGTGTAGGGATTAATTCACTTCACACATTTTGCTGGGAACCGAAGGCCCCAAAGACGTGTCAAATGTCTTGGCATGTTTGGCGACAGAGCTCCGGCTTGAGCCACAGTAACTTCTCCGGGATGTGGACCTGAGGGAAAGAAGCATTTTAATTTAGTCTAATCAACGTTTTCTTTAATTCTTTTATTACGTGTCTATGAGTGAGCACGTGCAGTTGTGCGCACAGGCTCACGTAGAGTCCAGAAGGATGGCTGGGATGTTATGCGGTTGGAGTTACCAGCAGCTGGGAGCCTCCTGAATTGGGCTCTGGGATCTGGAATCAGGTCCTCTGCAAAAGCAGCAGGAGCCCTTAATACCTGAACCATCTCTCCAGCCCCGAGCGGTTTTCTTCAGTTCCTACTCAGAAAGTGTTAATGGCTAGGTGTCAGATAGTGCCCGAATCTGGCATCTACATTATGCATGTGTATGTGTCTCTGTAAATATACATTCATTATATTAAATATAAAATCTCCATACAATGCACGTACTTGAACCCTGGTGTCATTTCATTTTACCTCTGGAAACTTGGCAACCAGACCACTTCAAAATTCACTTTAACTAACACTTTCTACACTTTTATTTGATAACTTGTTAACAGTGCTTAGCAGAGCCCTGAGTTATCAGAAGAATGTTTTTCATATCTGATTAATGAAATGACCAAACAAATTGTGATCGTTTTTTTTTTCCTTTTTATTCAACTGAAGTAAAGCATTCTAAGTCATTTACCCAAGCAATGGGGCAGATGTGGGCCTGCAGAGTCTGCCCCTTTAAGTGTTGATACACTCTGACAGGTTTACCAATGACAGTGTTTGCTTTCCCAGAAAGACTAACTGATAGAAGATGTCCAGTAAATCACCTTAGAATAAGGCATTAAGCAAATGCTGTGGCATAAACTGGGGGCCCTTTTTATGTGAAATAGCAAAGATGACACCAAGAAAAATAATGTGGAGGTGTTAGTTGTTTTGGTTTTTTTCTTTAACCATAAAATTTTGTCTTTCCCCTCTCCCTTGCAAGCCCTCGCAGTATCACGTGGTGTGAGTAGCATTAGCAAAGATGGTGTTGGGATTCAATGGTTTCTAACTGGATTCACCATCATGCCAACTCTGGATTCTTGCAAATCATTAGTACATAATTTATAGAAAATAAAATGAGGTAGATCAATGTTAGAGTTGAACTGAAGTCTGCAATCAGTTCTTTAAGCATTAAAACAGCAGAGATGCCAAGGAGCTAGAACTGGCATGTTTGATGATTGGATACAGGTGGTGGTAGAGCACAGACAGGATTTCCTAGCATGATCATCTTTGCAGAAGATCGAAGGGGAAGAGAAGAATACATAAGACAGGGAAGGGTTTTATGTACCTGTGTGTTTGTCACTGCAGCAATGGACTCGTAAAGGTATGGAAATTGGGATGTTGAAGTCAAGCATCAAAATATAGTTTAGGGTTAAAGGCTCTGCTTGAATAGTGACATAGGTAAGCTAGCATCCTACCTGGGTTAATTAAAAGTTATGGAGACAACAACAGCTTGGGGGAAGAGTAAAGTAGAAGCTATGGAAGACAATTAATAAGCTAGACTGGACAGGACCAGCACAGAAAGGAGATGAAAAGCTAGGCAAAGAGTGCCCAGAAAATGAAGGAGTCAAAAATCTATACAAGCAAGAAAGGCAATTCAGGGAGGGTTAGCTAATAATGTGAATAATAAGGGTCAAGTGTGAAGTGCACTTCACAAAACTCGCTGATAATTTTTGAGGAGTGTGTGGTGAATTGTGGGGCAGGGATTATTCAATTGTAGTTCCCTTTGTGCCTACTGAAGTACTGTGGTTAATGTTTGACTTGGCTCTACTACCGAACCCATGGAAAATCAGCCAAACCCATGACCTTCTCAGGCAGAAAAGAAATCAATCAAATAGAGAAGTGAGTATACTGGGATTTGAAAGTCTATCCTTAGAAAAATAAGCAAATAGTCTAGATTTTACACACACACACACACACACACACACACACACACACACTAAAAAGTTCTTCATGTAATCTAAATGTAGTATTTTTCCACTTAAATTTAGTGGGTTATCTCATTACAATCTCGGATGAGGGAAGTGGATGAACCATTCTTGTAACCTTTGTGCTGTTATGGGAGGGTTTCACTGAGCAATTTACGCATGCCTAAAATGTTTCCTTTGTCCTTAAATTGTGTACAGATTAGCAATGTGTTTTACAGACAGAGAGGAGACTTGTAGGAGTAACAAAACTGTGCTGGTTGACGGAACAGAACCAAGGTCAGGGGAGAGGATGGTATGGGTGTTTGCCAAAGCATCCCAGAGGCGTATTCCTTGGCTGAAGATTAGTGTATTCTAAGAATGTTTTTATTAGTTCTTCGAGACTTTCATATAATGTATTGTGAACATACTCATGCCTTTTTCTATATATGGTCTTTCTTTAGACCCCTGGCTTTTTTTTTTTTTAATTATGGAAGCTTGGCCTTAGCTTAGGCTTGTTCCCAACTGGCTCTTAATACTTAAATTAACTCGTTTATATTAATCTTGTTTGTATTAATCATGGCTTGTTACCTCTCTGCAGTACCATACATCCAAGTTGCTCTGTTCAGCTGGCTAATCTCCCACCTCAGATTCTTTTCCAAAGTCCTATCTCTGCACACAGAAGTTCCGGCTATCCTCTCCAACCTATGATCATTCAGCTCTTTATTAAACCAATCAGAAGATACCTTAGAAAGGTGAGGTAAAACAGAGACATGTCTGCACACAGTGTACAGAAAGACTATCCCAACACTCTTCCCCAACTCCTCTCCCACTACCACTGGCTCAGCCTTCTCCATCTCAACTGAGATGTTTGTGTTTGCCAGTTAGATTTGGGGTTGGGGCCCTGGCATGTAGTAGACTTACCCGGGATCAGACAGTTTAAAAAAATTGACTTTTCCTTTCCTAGAGGCTATGAAAAGCCAATAGTTCCTCTACTAATGGCAGAATACCCCCTACCACTGTCTCATGATTGAATTTTGTTTAGCTAGAGCTTCTGTTGTAATTAAACACTTTTTGATTGCAAGTAACAGAGAGGCAATGAGTTCCGTTTCACATGTACCAAATTTGCAAGGCCGGTGGAATTTGGGTCTAGTAACTAACAGAAAGGGGTCGGGCTAAAGATACAGATGATGTGAACACAGGCCTACATGTGTTTGCATATGGGGCTGGAGAGATGGAACTGTGAGTGATTCAGACAACTTCCTGCTCTTCAGAGGACCCAAGTTGGTTCCAATACCTGCTCACAGCTACTGCACCCCACCCACGTGTATGTATAATAATATACATATTAAACACACCATAAATGCCAAAAGGAATTCTTGGAAAGTTGTCTGAATTAAATGAGGTGAGATTTCAAGATAATGATGACTACATCTTTCTCCTCAGTTGTTACCATGGACTCTGTAAGCCTCCACAGAGAATTTAATCATTGCTTGACACTTGTCACAAGAATGCTCCTGTGAGCCTGGTATGGCTGTTAAGACTCATTAGCAGCTTGGATAGCATTGCAGGCTGTCCCATAGGAGACATACCTCAATAGAAAATAGGCACCCTATATCTCAGAACCAACCACCACATGGAATGCTTTTGAAACTGCCCAACACTGGCGATTGACTAGTGAGTAATGGTTGAAGCACGCAGTAGATTTAGCCCAGCTATGAAACTATGGTACTCAGGGGTTTGGGTAACAGTTACATCATAGGACCAAAGGAACATGAAATTGTTCCCACAACCATGAAAAAATACCATGCACAGAAAAGAGAATATAAAATGTCAGTAGTGATTTCTCTTTGGTTGGTGAGTCAATTGTCTTTCTTTCTTCCTTTCAAAGCATATTCCATGAAGTATATCATATATTCCTTAATGAAAAGAAAAACATTATCTCAATAATGTATGATCTAAAGCATTTGGAGAAGACAAGGCAGTAGCAGTGTAATCTTTAATCTATATTAAAACATTTAGAGTGTTTATAAATTTACATTTTACCCTCTTCATAATCCTAGCCATACTTCATGTGCTCAGTGAGGAGAGGAAATCCCCCAAACACCACTGTATTTCTCAACACTTCATAGAAACAAAGACTGGGCTCTGTGAAGTCCACAAAAGTTTTCTAGACCTTGCCTTACTGCAAGCAAACAAAAAAAATGAGTAATGCATGAAAATGAGCTGCAGTAAATTCTGAAGGCAAAATGCATTAAGTTCATCATAAGAAAAAATAGATCAGGA